CCGCAGTAAAGGGTGATGTTGCTGCTGACGCGAATGATGATCCCAACCGAGTCATTTGCAGCGGGTTTTTTTTGGACGGCATTGGTATGCTTTGATCAATATCAGTGACATTGTACGGGAGGGGGGAGGGGGGGGGTGTTTTTACATATATATCGTTATGGGAAGAAAACGGGAGAACCTGGAAGAAATCCATGCAGAACAGAGGGAGAACAGACACACTCCACAGCAGATGAGATGGCATGGAGTAGAAGTCGCAGAGTTTCAGAGGTCGCAATGGGTCAAGAGCAACTGTTAAGGAGCAAGGAGAGAATGGAAGAGGAGTTGATCCAGCAGTGGTAAGTTACAGGCCGACTACAACAGATTCACGAAACTCATGGAATCACAAGAGAACTATCGACTCGCATAGAGACCCACGGACTCACAAGAGATACAAAGATTCCGCGAGGAGATGAAGCGAAGACGACTGGCAGTTGCACCGCCTGCGCTGCGTTTTAGCTGCCCGGCGCTCTGCTCGTTGTCGTGAGCGTAGACCCGCCACGACTGCCTCCAAACTGCTCAGTAGCGTCCTTCACGAACCGAACATCCTCAAGTCCACTCGTAAAACGCAACAGCCCGTTTCTTCCATCGCCCATGTCGTGTCCGTTTCGCCCCCCTCTATCCGGAGCCACACACACCATCACCATCAACTGCACAAAGCGGAGAGAGAGAGAAATGGACGAATAGAGTCAGGCGCTGGTGAACCCTGGTGAACCCTGGTGAACCAGAGCCAACGATGCGAATATTAAACCTAGGGCCCCATGTCGGCACAGGCAATTAACCGGACACACGAACACAGTGACAGAGTCCACTTAGCGAGCGCAAGTTCAATGTTCAACCCATGCGAATGTCTCAAGTGAGGCAAAGAAGCGTGCAGGGAGAGAGGCGCGTACTTGGAATTACACTGACAGACAGAAGGAAGAGGAAAACGTGGATTCAAGAACGTACGTAAGCAGATTGAAGACATCGTATAAGGTGAGCAGCTGAGTAGGTAGGTAGGTAGGTGGGCGGATGAGATGCTGGGTAGGTGGACAGGTAAGTGGGCGACTGGATAGTTCGGCAAGTGGGTAGACGTGGGTAATTGTACATATGCATGTTGAACTTCTTCCGCACCATACGTAGATAACCGTGAGAATCGTAGGTGCTGGGGAAGGACAACAAATGAAACACAAAAAGCGGTTCTAAATAAATAAGTTTTCAATCTCGACGATTTAAAAAAAACGAATGCTGAAACGTGTGAAAATAAGAATGGGGAGGTTTGCTTAATAATACCAACACCCGCCATTCGCCACCAAGTGACAGTGACGTCACCACGGCGCCTGTGCCGGGCCAGGTGCACTCTCAGGCCACATGAAGTGTCTTAAGGCTCCGACGACCAGGAGGCCACGGGTCCGGACCCCAGGTGCCATGGGTCGACCGACTGAGACGACTGGCATCTGACCGACATCAAACCGCGACGGAGACGAAGGAGTACGCGTAGAGCTATAGGTGGCGGCGCTCTGACTGTAAAATAAAAAAAGGGGGCGACGGCCGGCAGTCGCGACACGACGGAGGAGGCAGCTACGGGAGCGGGCGCGTCCGAGAGGGGAAACGTCTGCCGCGGAGACGGAGCGATTTTGATCAGCTTGCGTGGAGCCGGGTGGATCGCTACGTCACAGGATTGTGAGAGACGGGGGGGGGGGGGGACAGCCTATGTAGGCCCCAATCCAGCAGTGGAATGGGCGTGGCCATTGATGCAGAGTGCATGCCAAGGTGTGTACAACAGCTGAAGTTTCTTGAGCCAGGTTCGGAGCGAATGCGTCTCCTTACTGGGAACTCCACGTTCCTGTGACGCAGGCAAGTCAACCCATCTCACAAAGGAAAGGTGAGTTGAACCCCTGACCAGGGCCGAACTGTTACTCTTACAACCGTGAGTCGGGCAATCGAACTACAACAATTTGCCACCGTTACCAATCCCCGAATTGTTGGGAACCTGGGTCTCTATTCCATTTAATAATCTATTATTTACTTTTGGCACTCCGGGTGAACGTAGCGGCCTCTAGTGGCTACAGGGGAAAAGGGAACTCGTTACAAATGACATGTACAAATCTAAAAACATGGAATTTCTTGCATGCGCACGAGGTTTGAAACTTTATTGCGAGGGACGTACAGGTACTGTACGAGACTGCATCTTGCTGCATGGGCCCACAACATAACCCCTGCGAGCCGATAACACCTGTCTGTTATGCACAGTGGTCACTCATCCGAAGCACTACCCAGGATTCAAGCCTGCTCAGTTTCTCAGGTGATCTTGTCATAGGCCACACGCATGTAATTCACATGACATCAAAACTCAAATCGAGGCAACAGTGAGTGCAGCAAATTGCCCGTGAGTTCACGACGACTGATCGAGTCTATCTGTTGATAATTATAATTATTAATATGATTATTAGGATGACCAAACCCAGCGAACTCGGTTTTCGATTCCTGGCCATTGTTAACATCTGTGCGAACCGGTCCCTGGGACTCCCCTAGGAGCACCTGGTGCAGTGTGTAAACTCTACAATGGGGCGACAAACGGGCAAGGGATTGAACAAAACACACCATTCCCTCATCCGCGATGCCGGCCTTAATAGGTGCTCGCTAACAGAACTTGCACCAACAGTCTGTACGGCTGTAGGGGGATCTTTGTCTTTGTACCGTGGTGGTGTGCGTGCGCTTACCTCGTGACTCTCTATTGTGTCTGTATTGAGGTGTGTGGCCGTGCGTGAATAGCTGGAGGATCTGCCAGCCATCTCAAGTCAGTCAACCCTTTGGCACCTAGGTCTGTCCTGTGACCTGTCAACGAGAATTCGACACTTCACGTGGCCTCAAAGTGCACCTGGCCTGGCACAGGCGCCGTGGTGACGTCACCGTCACTTAGTGGCAAATGAAGGGTGTTATTGTAGTCTGTCTATTGTGGTGCGTCTACTTTGTGACCGTCTCTGCTGTCTGTATTGTGGTTGAGGTGTGTGTGTGTCTACAGTGTGGTGGGGTGTTTACCTTGTGTGTCTATGTCGTGTGTCTGTTCAGAGATGAGACTCCCGACTAATGGTGCTGTTAGTATTCAACAGTCATGTACGGCTGTTGTGGGGGACGAAATCTCTAAGTCTTTGTCCTCAAATGACAGGAAACTCAACAACAGTCCGTTGATTATCAAATCACAGCAGCTCTCCGTGAATTCACCACAATAGTAATTTAATCCACGGCTTAAGATTATAATCAATAGTTTCGTCATCACCATCGAGCGCTCGACATCCGTCGCTCAACATTGCTACCGACACCAACTCGGGAGCGAACTCCCCAAAGCACGTGGAGGATCGCGGCCCGGGCAAAACCGGGGAGAAAGCGAAAGAGCGAGGGGAGAGGGCGATCTCAAAAAATAGGCAGCGCGCTTAATGGCCACCAAAACAAAAACACGACGGAACGAGCCAATCACCGTAGCCTGGCCCTCCCCCGCCTCTCTCTCTCTCCCCGTCCCGCCGCAGCAAGACGAGCGAACCGGGTCACGCTTCCCACGCGCGCGCTCGGGTGTGTTTATTATCCGCCCTCTCTCTCGTGTACCGGCAAAGCCATGGAACATTCTACGCGGAGGGTTCCCCACCGCGGACCAAACCGAGAGGCGTTTGCCGCCGCATCTCCTCTCTCTGTGCGTTCATCTCGCACGCCGTGTTGCCATTCACACGTGGTGCTGCTGCTGCTCGCTAACGGCACTTGCCCCAACAGTCTGTGAAGGCTATACGAGAGGGTCTTTGTCGTCTCGGACAGGGTGCTTCCGATCCACTGCTGAGACCACAGCCCCCGCCGAGTTCGATTCTCGCCCACGACCAATAACAAACGCGGTGTTCAAACCGGTCCTACGCCTTCCACCTAACTCCCCACCCTCAACCACGCAAGGTTAGCACGGTCTTAAAATTTCGTTTCCTGGTGCTGGTGGGTAAACATCAGCAAATGTGGAGACAGGCGGCCCAGGTGTGGTGTTGTCGGTCGTTCCGGCCTTCCAAAAAGCACTTGCCCCAACAGCCTGTTAAAGGGCCACACGGGGGATCTTCGCACTGTGCTGCATTTGTCTCTCGGACGAAACGAGGGGCATAACATTGTCCGACGTTTTCGTGCGGCCGCGTGCCCTGCTCGGTTATATATATGCTGCCGCCGTTGACTGCGATGTCATCTCCCCGTGGTTTTCGTTTGAAATGCTGGCAGCCAGCTAGTTAGTTACTCAACCAGTCACACAACAAGTCAATCAGTGACCCAGTCATTCCACTACTCAGTCACACCACAAAGATAAAGATCCCCCCCCATATAGCCTTAACAAACTGTGAGCAAGTGCTGTTAGCGAGCACCTATGATGGCCGGCACGACACCAATGCCGGCCGCATTGTGTCTCCCCAGGAGCGACATTTACACACTGCACCAGGTACCCATTTGAGGCCGAGTTGACTTAGGGGAGGCCCAGGGCCGGTTCAGATAATCGTCACTGGTGTTGGCCGTGAGCGGCAATCGAATTCTGGTCGACAGGTTCGTAGCGCAGCACGGTAACCACTGCACTACAGCTCCACCCGTGAATCACAACGCGCGCACACACACACCTCCATCACGTCAGCCTCGCCACGCACGGCCGCGGTGAACATAAACATGGTTACACAAATCACCATCCGCCATACCACCATTCCATCGTACCACAATATCACCCCACCACCGTACTTACTCGACCACAACACCATCGCACAACCAAAACACCGTACCACCATTTCATTATACCCAACCCCCTACCATCATCATACCACTCATTACACCACTCTCCCAGAGTATCAACCACGACAATAGCCACCGTGGCGACGACAACACAACAGCCCCGAAACGAGTGGCACATGGGGAGATGAGATGAGCCGAGGAAAAGAGAAGGGAGATGATGGGAGGAGGAGATGAAGACGCGTGCGCATTACCTTGCACAGCAGAAGGAGCAGCAGCAGCATCCCCGGGCGTCACTCGCTCAGCGGACAACGGAGCGTGGACGCGCGACAGCTGGCCTTCTCAAAGCCCCTTTGTCCAAGACGAGCTCATTGGCCGGACAACCCCCCCAACCGACCACCAAAGCTCCCCGAACTGGCCGGCCACCGGGCCAGCCACCAAACTAGTCACCCGACCAGCTAGGAAGCCAAGTCGGTCGACCCCAGCCAGTCAGTTGGCCACCTAAACCAACCGGCCCACTAAGGCGGGCAGACAAATGTTGCCAGTCAGATAGTGAGGCGATCGTCGTAGCAGCTTAACACTCAGCCAGCCAGCCAGTCAGTCACCTAGCCAGCAAGGTAAAGTCACCCAGCAAGCCACTCAACCGGTCAGCTAACCAACCAGAGTACCAGTTAACCAACACGTCAGCCAGCTACTCAGTCAGATACTGAGGCAGTCAGTCAACCAATCATCTAGATTGCTAGCTAACTCATCCAGTAGGCCAGTAAGCTAGCTAGTCACCCAGCCATGCCACAATCACCGAGACCGTTACCCAGTCAGCCCGTGGCTACGGGACGCGGGCAAGTGGTGTTGAGGTGCTGGGGTCGTCCACACACCAACCCCCTCTGTTCGCAGCAGCAGCAGCGAACGTCCGAGCAAACAAACAAAAAAATCCCAATGCAGCGAGCGGCCGATAGATCCGATCCTTGTGGAGGAAGACGGCGGTGTGGCCGGGGTAGAGGGGGGGAGGGCGAATGTCGAGCGAGACGAATCTCTCCGGTGGAACGCCACAGCGCAGGATGAGAGAGAGAGAGACGCACGCGGAGGGAGACGTGTGGGTCGTAGCTTGTGTTGTAGTCGTAGTAAGCAGGCGGGCAGGAGGAGAGCGCCAGTGTGCGTGCGTGCGCGAGAGAGCGAGCCGTGTGAGCGTTACGTACAACCGAGGGACCGCGGGGTGGCGGACGAGAGCGAGAGGGGGGGGTGAAGAGGCGGTGGTGAGCCGCAGTGGCAACAATGCGAGTGAGCAACAGTAGAGCGGGGGGGAGGAGGGAATGGTGGGGAGGGAGGGAGGGGGGCGGCACGACATTGCAGAGTGGGAGGGAGGAGAGAGTGGGAGGGAGGAGAGATTGGGAGGGAGGAGAGAGTGGGAGGGAGGAGAGAGGGGGAGGGAGCAGAGAGGGGGAGGGAGCAGAGAGGGGGAGGGAGCAGAGAGGGGGAGGGAGGAGAGACGGGGAGGGAGGAGAGAGAGGGAGGGAGGAGGGGAGAAAGAGTGAGAGAAGACAGAGAGGGAGTGAGGAGGAAGAGGGGAAAGAGACGGGGAGGGAGGAGAGAGTGGGAGGAGACAGAGAGGGAGTGAGGAGGAGAGGGGGAGGAGAAAGAGAGGGGGAGGGAGAAGAGAGTGGGAGGAGACAGAGAGGGAGGGAGGAGAGCCACACGCACGCAGCGAATGGGAGCGAACGCCGGGTCCAAAACGAGCAAAGCGGGCACAACCAGCTCGATCCGGTTGGGCGAGTGCTGCGTGAAAGCGTGGGAGGGATGTGCCCCAGGTCCATGTTGTTTAACGTGCGTCGGGACGGACGTTGTTCGAAGGAGGAAGCGGCTTACCGCCTTCACAACACCACCCCGAGCTCACCAGCGTGGCGACGTATGGTTCTGACATCCACGCAGCCGCCACCCCAAAAACAGCGACGCAGTGGTCGAACGCACTCTGCCCTGCGAAGCGGACAGACCCAAGTTTGATTTCCTGGTCAGGGGGACTCGCATCATCGGTGGCGAGCGATGTCAGAATCGTCCACCACTACAACCACCACCAAAAGACAAAGATCTCCGCCCCCCCACCAATTGCCTTATAACAGACTAGGGGAAAGTGCTGTTAGCGAGTGGCAGCACCTATGAAAGCTGGTGCACGGCGCAAGCGGCGGTGGGTGGCCAGCACCACGCCCGGCCACCTTGTGTCTCCTCCAGTTGCGATGTTCACACGTCGCGCACACGGCACTCACTCATGTGAGAGGCTGAGGCGAACTAGCGGGAGGCCCAGGACCGGTAACGATCATCGTCACTGGTGTTGGCCGTGAACAACTGAGATCTGCTTTGGTGGCAGAGTTCGTAGCGCAACGCGCTAACCGCTGCGCCACCGCTCCGCACAACAACAACCACCTTGACCACCAATAGCCGCCATTCGCCACTAAATGACGGTGATTGTCACCACGGCGCTGGTGCGAGGCCAGGGTGCACCTTGAGGTCAAGTGAAGTGTCGAAGGCTCGCTGACAGGTCACGGTACAGACCCAGGTGGTGACCATGGGTTGACTGACAAAGATGACTGCCAGACGCACCACCTGTGTCACCCCCCACTGTGCCAACTTGAGGACCACCACCTAGACCACGGCCACGCTCAAATCACCTGAAACAACCCGCAACAGCGTCCTTGCCCCGCACCTCCAATTAGCGCGATTGGCTACGTCCGGTACCGAAAGAAGTTCAACATACGTACATTCAACGGGACAGACACAGGTGCCCATGAGGTTGACTGACTGAGATGCCTGGCAGATTGCACCCGCCTGTATGATGCCTACTGTGCCAAAGCAGGTACAAAGCACTGACTGACTGGGTCACAGAGGGCATGTGCCACCAGGCCTGGCAGATGGGTTTTAGTTTTTCAAGAGGGGGAGTGGGGGGGTTTGTCTTAAACAGGACTTTAGATTCACGGCTTTTATTGACGCTTTCCCTAACCATCTGGAGGCGAATTGTACAAACAATGCCTCGTCTGCTGGGGCTAGTTGAATAACAGCAATCATTATTGGCAAGTTTGCAAGTATCTTTTGAATCTAATACGATGTTTCCCACCCCCACACAAACCAAGATTAGATATTTGTTTGCTACATCTACAGATGTGTTGACCGTGAGTATGACATCTCTCGGTCAATTAAGACGTGAAGGTTTTCATTTGAATGGAAACACTCAGAAGTTCCAGGACATTCCCAGTTGGTTAAGGAACCACACGCGCTCCCTCGCCCCGTCTCCGAAGATTTCAGAGTACGCGAGCGAACTTGACTCTCTTAATTTGACGCAAAGGTCGACGCTTACAAAAAACTGGAGAAAAAAAACCGTAGTTGTGTGGCTTCTACAGATTTATTCTCGAGTCGCACATTATCTGAGACTGATTTGGCAGTGGTGCAACAAACATTAAATAACTAAACGAACAAAACTCACATTCATCAATAACTGTGGACTTAAAAAGGAAATGCGCATATATAATAGGCGACGTTTCGGGTGACAGTCCTTCACAGTGCATACTTAATTTAAACGTGCTACGAGGAAGGGCCGTTGCCTGAAACGTCACCTTTTAATTTTTTTCCTTTCAAGGCCACGGTCTTACACTGATGGACGTGTGTAGAGTTTGTTTCTGGAGTTACACCGTTTGTCAAGTCATCGTTTCTTATAGCTCACTATCGAATGCATAAAAGCACGGTTGGCACCTCCGAGACCCACTCACACAGAGACCCATGGTTTTCTTGTCCTTCCCCCGCACCTCCGATTAGCACGATTGGCTACGTACGGTGCAAACGAAGTTCAACATACACACTCAGATGGTATTCCGATTGATATGGGTTGTATTTAAAGGAGTCACGTGGCACCCTGCAGCGGCTACATTAATCAGTACAGTAAAAATACAGTGTATCTTATATATTGAAAAAAAAATACTCAAATCATCGCCCTGAAACGTGACAATGTATTCTATCACAAACGGGCGAATCATTCAAAGCCCGTATAAGTGGCGGTGAGATAAATATTAAAAACACTTGGAAGGACTGGGTTGTATCCTTGGTTCTGAACTGGCTACAGAGAAAGGCTACGCAACTTAAGAAACTTGCAGGCACAGAGTTGGGGCTTCCGCAGATTTCTATTCGGATGATCTTGGCCGAGGAGGTTGGGGGTGACGAAGAAGGGGGGGGGGGGCAAGGAGGGGGAGTACTGGGCGTGACCATATGCTCTGACGTCGCAGTCACCTCGGGTATGAGAGGCAATAATAGAAAAATCTGTAAACTTCCCACGCTGCCAGCCATCGTACCCTTCTGCCAACTGTTTCGCTCTGCTAATTGTAATCCTGTTATCGCAGTCATCGCCATCGCCGCACCAATTAATATTTATATCGCGCGTCTGCCATGCCTTACATCTCGCGGTGCGGCAGCCAGCGCCACCCCTCATGGCATCTGGGCCCCCCCCCACCCGGGGTGGCAGCTGTCTCTGTGCGGGCACTTGGGGTTAAAACACGCGGCATCGTCCTGCAAAACGGGGCCTGCGTCTGACAACAGGAAGCAACGTTGCTGTGTGTTACGCCAACTGAGGGCCAGATGTTAACTACCTCGCCTGGTAGACGGAGGTTCTGTGGGTTCGATCCCAACCCTGACGCCTGCTGTATATTTGCAGTGTCTCTCTCCCTCTCTCCCCATGGTCGCGTGGATTTTTCTCAGGGCCCTCCAGGGGTTTCCCCTCCACATTTGGAACCAACATCAAGCGTTTAAGAGCATTTGGCAGCTATAAATTTCCACGTGATGATGAGCCGCTTTTTGAGACGCGACACAGCTCGACATAGCTAAGTAAACAAACAATAAGAGTAGTTTGAGTAATTTAGCAACGTTCGGCCGTGACACCGGCATGCATGGCTCAAGTCGTGGAGTATTTAGACTTGGGTGTAATGTTACGGTGACTACACCCCGCCCACCGCAGTATTAACCAGGGTGACCACCGAGCTGAAAGCGTGAACCTCCGCGATGAAGGTGCCGCTACCACTACTCTATAAAAAAAACCTATTTATTATTTGACCAGGAAAGGCCCACTGAGCATACGTAGCTCTTATTCAGAAGCGGCCTGGCCCATCAACGAAGTGGGCTTATCATCGTGTCGAAATTTCTAGAAGCAAAATACTCTAAAACGCGTGGTGATGTTGATTCTAAACATGGAAGGAAAAACTGGAGGATCCGGCGAAAAATCCACACAACCACGGGGAGAGAGAGAGAGAACATGGAAACTCAAAATATACAGCAGGCATCAGGGCCGGTATCGAACCCACGACCTCCTGCATACCAGGCGAGGTAGTTAACAACTCCTAGCCACCGTGATGATGAGAGAGAGGACAGGCAAACTCCAAATATTCAGCAGGCGGCAGGGTCGGGATCCAATCCACGACCTCCTCCATACCAAGGCGAGGGAGTTAACATCTCCTAGCCACCGTGATGATGATGAGAGAGAGGACACGCAAACTCCAAATATACAGCAGGCGGCAGGGTCGGGATCCAATCCACGACCTCCTCCATACCAAGGCGAGGTAGTTAACATCTCATAGCCACCGTGATGATGAGAGAGAGGACACGCAAACTCCAAATATACAGCAGGCGGCAGGGTCGGGATCCAATCCACGACCTCCTCCATACCAAGGCGAGGTAGTTAACATCTCCTAGCCACCGTGATGAGAGAGAGGACACGCAAACTCCAAATATTCAGCAGGCGGCAGGGTCGAGATCCAATCCACGACTTCCTCCATACCAAGGCGAGGTAGTTGACATCTCATAGCCATCATGATGATGAGAGAGAGGACACGCAAACTCCAAATATACAGCAGGCGTCAGGGTCGGGATCCAATCCACGACCTCCTGCACACCAGGCGAGGTAGTTAACATCTCCTAGCCACCGTGATGATGAGAGAGAGGACACGCAAACTCCAAATATTCAGCAGGCGGCAGGGTCGGGATCCAATCCACGACCTCCTGTATACCAGGCGAGGGAGTTGACATCTCTTCGTCACTCGGCTACGTCGCCGCCCACGGAAGAAAACATTTTACGGGGACAGGGAAACACGACAACGCGCAATGCGTGGATTCTGTTACGCTCTCCAACATCGCGGTCGTCCACCTCGGAGGTGTTTCACAAGCAATTACGTCACGATGTAAACGCGGTGACGTCAAGAGGTGAATTCATCATCACCGTGACGAGACGCCGATGGCGCAATTGCGATGATATT